GGAGCACGCTACCGCGAACACTGCTGCGTCAAAAGTGTTTTTGAGGTCCAACCTCGCGAAGAGAGCGTGCATGTGCTCGAGGGTGACCGGCGGGCGCTTTGCCAGCGGCGGTGGCTCCAGTTTCTTGGCGCCTTTTTTCGCGTAAATGAGGATGTTTCCTCCCACCCACCGCGCCCCGTTTAGCGCGTGCCAGACTGCTAGTCCTGATAGCCAGCCCGCGATCGTGTCAAATCGAACGCGTCCCGCGTGATGGGCCACAAAGGCCGCGATCAGAACGTCCCCGGCCGGCATGCGAGCTTCTTCGGGAATGGAGAGACTATCACAGAACTGGGTGAATCGCAAGAGACCGGCGCCGTAGTTTTTTCTAGTTCGTAACTCGAGAGCATGCGCCATGACCGTGAAGAGCTGAGAAGAAGCCGAGGGAGAAAGGAATGTTTCAAGACGATTCTGGAACTGAATTGAATGCGGGGTTGACCAGCGCGTGATGCGCTCATCTGCTAGAACGAACGGTCGCAGCGAGGATGCTGCCACCGCGTTTTGTGATTGTGGTCGACGAGGTTTGCGCTGCGTAAGCGTTCGCGACGAACGATGTGTCGTGGTAGTCCCGACCCGGGCTACCGTTCCCACCGATCCGCTAGACAGCGCGCCCGAAACGACGGGCATTGGAGTTGGCGTGGTCGTACTAGACATGGCAAAGAAATGCGCCTAACTCCTTTGGGAGTTCGAAGTTCGAGTGGAAGCGCTTCAGCGTGTGGTCCGGTATGCCGCGAGACACCGGATCGGATCTGTTGATCTTGGTATTGACGTACTCGGGCCTGGCCACGAGGTTGTTTGTGAGGCAGAGGTGCTCTGTTCGACGAATCGATAAGTTGACCTGCCAATTCCTGCTCCTCCCCCTCAGAAAGGCTTTGATGACGCCCTCGTTATCGCTCCGGATACGGAGATCTGCGTTCCTCCAGCCCAGCTCCTTGACTCTCCTCATGAGGAGTTCGATGGCAACCATCTCGGCCCACCCGATGTCCCTGCCCTGTGCGTGCCAAACCTCATATGGCACCGCCCATTTCCAAGCGTCCCATCCATCGCCGATCACTAGCCCGATACCCCACGACGATGATGCATCGACCCACATGTCGAGGTCACGAAGCTCCCCTCTGGGCACCAGCGCCCGCCGGATGCTCGGTTGCGCCAAGATGGCGCGCCACCACTTCAGATCTGAGATGACCGACTTCGGGGGATAGCGGCCCGCGTGCTCGTTCGTGAACGACGCGATGAACGAACTCAGACCCGCCAGGTACGATCTGCCCGAGACATAGACGAACGTGCAATGTGATAGCGTACCGTTGATGATCTGCATCGATTTTAAGTCCACGCGCCCCGCGCCGTTCTTCGCGTCGCCCAGCGTCGCGTCCAGCCTTGCAAGATACTTTTCGCGCTTCTTGTCTGCCAGCGCCACCGTCTTGTTTGGGAGGTCCCACAGAAATCCGGCGTACTCGCCCGTGTCCTGGTGCAGAGTCCACTTCTCTTGGTGAAGGGGCACCCCTAGTCTCCCCGCGAGCTCGAAGATGTCGAGCACCGAATGCTTGTAGATCCACTCGCCCGGTTTCGCCCCCTCGGCGATCGGAAACCGCATGTTGTTTAGGTCGTCGACCCACTTCCGGTTCGGCCCCCAGCCACGCGCGTCCAACAGCGCGACGAACGGGTCCATCACGGCCCCCTGAAGTCCGGTCCCCGAGGCTACTCCGAAGCCGCAAACGTGGTCGATCAAGAATTGATCCGGTTTTGCCTGTACGACGAGGTACGGTTTGTGCGGCGGCCATATCGGGATCCTCCGAAACGCGGCATCGATGTCCAGCGTCGCCATCTGTGCGCCCGGCGGCGCGTTCGCTACCTGCGAAAAACATGAGCCTCTGCTCGCGCGACCCCAGCGCGACTTGTTCTCTCCCGCGCCCCGCGCTCGTGCATCTGCACCGGTCCGCATCTGCGCGACCCCATTGATTCCCCGCGCTATCTCCGTGCCAAGCGCACTGCGCAACTCTGTGCCTTCTAGCACTCGCGCCCCGCGCGGAATCCCTGTGCCCCGCACTGAAATGAATGAAAAAACTCACTATTTCGCCAACCTCGGCTGCTGTGCCCCACTTCGTAGGAAAATCGTCCGAGTCGATCATGTCATTGACTGAGTTTCCAAACTCGTCCGGGAAGGAGCAGTTCTGGATGAGCCGCCACTTCCCCTTCGACCCCGCCTTCTCGACCACCGATAAAGGCGACGATCGGAAATGCGATCCGAGGATCTCCTCGACGCGCCCGCGCGTGTAAGGTCCCGTCATGTGCCCCAGCGCTACCTGCTCCGCCACATACTCCTCGATGAAGGCCATGTTATCTTTCCCCCCCTTGTGATTTTCCGGTGTGAAGGTCCGCTCCAGCGGTACCATGTCCCCAATCGGGAAACCCGATCGCAACCTCGTCGGCAAGTAGCCGAACTCCCCCCAGAGGCCCCACCTGCGCAACTCCTCCTCGAAGACGTCCGCGCGATAGGTGGTGATCACCCGATCCCTCTCAGATGCACCTCCGACTACCGGCGTAATGCGCGGTGGACCCACAGAAAGAGCAAGCGTGGACTCCGCTCCCTCCAGGACAGCGATAGTTGGTGCAGGGGGACTTGCCGCTGGCGTTCCAAGACATGCAGATGAAGTTTCCGGAAGCGACTGCGACGAGTTGGCCGTTTGAGTAAGTGGAGAAGGCCGGGGAGTTGTTTGGAAGTCTGTTTCGCGTGCACCCGTCCGCGCGATGTCCGTTCTGGCCGCAGATAAGGCAGAGGGGCCCGCCGGACGTGGGCGACCTGCCTCTCCGAAATGATCGTTGGCCGTCGTTTCGGTAGCCTCCGCCGCCATTGTTCCCCGCGCCGCCGCCACCGCCCGTGTTGTAGCCCGCGCCGCCGCCACGCTTGTTCGCGGAACCCCCGCGATCGGACTGAGAGGGGTAAGGCTGGAAGCGCCCGCTGTTCAATCCCCCCGATCCGCTGTTCGTTCCGACCAAGTGTTCCATCGAAATGTCGCTTTGAATTTGCGCGAGCTCCGCAACGTACTCGTAAGAGGCCGGGAAGAATGGTACGCATTCTTTGCCCCAGAAGTAGTCGTGTCTGATGCCGATGTCAAAGCGGAGGATAGCCGGGAAGCGAGTACTGAAATTCTGCTGCCTGACCAGAAAGTTGTGGTGTCTCTTGAATCGCTCTACTCCCTCTGGCTCTAGCACCTCCGGTAGGATAGTCAGATAGTTCGTCCAGGCATCGCGCCACTGTTCCGAAGTGAGGGACGACTCCTCCGGCCACCCGACGGTGACATCGACCACCGAGACCTTGGCGCCCGAGAAGTCCGTCTGGTTCTTGCACGTGAGCCTCGCCGGAGACTGCCGCACGATCTCCAGAGCCTCGTTGGTGCACAGGGTCAAGGGCAGGTGGAAGCCTAGTTTAACCAGGTTGATTAGCCTCCGGTCGATGCGATTACGTCTGGCGGCCCTCTGCTCGGCGGCCATAGCCGCGGATTCCTTCAGAACCCCCGTGTCCTTCTCCTCCGCGTCCTTTTTGGCCCCCGGGGCCAGCGACTGCAGATAGGCCAACGCCTTGTCCTTGAGGTCGCCCTCCTGCCTCATCGCCAACATGAACGCCTCGAAGTGAGTGATGTTCCCCGCCTGTGCTGTACCTGCGACCCCCGCAAGGGGTTCGCTCTGTGACGACATCGTCGCCGACGTCTGGGTGATTGGCTCGAGGAACTCGTTCTCTCCGCCGGACGGGTCTGCCCCTTCCAGTTCTAACAATACCTCGTCCGCGTCGACACCCTCTTCTCCCGCCTCCCTTCGGAAGACGCGCAACACGTTCCTGGCGGCGCGAGCCTCGTTTTCGGCCACGCGGCCCACCGTGGTGGTGAGATCATGCTGTGCTTCATTGCCGCCGGTGCCTGAGGCCTGACTATATGCGCCCCCTTCGACCCTGTTAATGCCCGCAGGGGGTCCTCCCGTGTTTTCTACTCCAGACATAAGTGTTTGGCGTGAGAGGAATGCTTTTACTTAGCGGTAGAGATCAAAAAACAACGTCGACCGAGTGGGAGACGTGGTGGAAGAGAGCGAAGGCGACTGGCGCTCAAGCGCCCGATTCGCTCTCTTCCTCATTCGGCCGCACTCTTAGTAAGCACTCGTTAGGCTCACAGGTCGTTCCTCCCTTTTGGGCCTAACAGCACTCACTCCACTTCCATGTCACTGGCAGGCTATGTGCTGTCGACGCAGGCTAAATACATGTCTAGGTTGGAAACCCTGGTCGAAGTGGTATGGGTTGTGGCGCCGGATTGGCGGTATTGGTAACTAATATACCATGTCTGGGCGGCGCGAACTCAATCATATGATGCTCAAGTTCGCCGCGCTCTCCTTCCTTTCTCGTCTCCGACACCACAACTCTGCTTCTGTCTGCTTCTGTCTCCTGTCCTTTTGCTCTCTACGTACCTTCTATGTTCGGGTGCGTCTTTGCCTCTTTCCCATCTCGTCGTATGCTCACCTTGACGCCTCCTCCCCATCTCGTCTATTTATTTTGTCGTCTACGAATGACGCAATGTCCGCCTCCTAATTCTCGCCATAACTTACTCGCAAGTCCCGCAGCCAGTAAGCAGGCCTCTTTCACCATTCGAGTCTGGTCCCTTCTCGTCGCTGACCGTTGGCTCTCCAGCGTCTCAAGAACCCTCTCCGATATCGACAAGGTGGTTCTAGACTCCTTGCCAGTGGCAGTCTCTTCTACCACCACGCGTGTCACCTCTTCCAATGCCTACAAGTTCACCAATCTTAACCTGGGTGGCGGTAATAAGCACAACAGCTCTCCATGTTATACCCCCATGCCGTATACGATTTCTACGGCACGCCCAGCTGCGCCCTCAGGTGCGTGTTACACACAAGACTGGGCAGCCCTGGCCCGTAGTTGACATGTTGCTGAATCAGTATGCATAAAAAATAAATAATGCAAGTGCCCCATGGCTGAGTTGGTTACAGCGTCCGACTGTTATCCTCTGGGTTGTCATCGGAAGGTCGTGAGTTCGAGCCTCACTGGGGCAGCTTTTTGCGACAGTAACCAAGCGATCTTATACCCCCGACGTCCAATAACCTAAACCAGCGCGACATACATGAAGCCAAGGGTTGCACTAGTTATTGCACGTTGCATGGTGGGTCATTGTTATCATTATGCACAATAAGTCAAGTTAACGATGTTCTACGTGTAGTTTCCTGAGAGAACCAACATCCGCGGGGAAGGGCAGAAGGGCAGAAAGGAGCGAAGCGAAATGTAACGCATGCTGGCCGAGCTCAGGACCGCAAGTTGACGCTGACTGTGGCCGAGAGAGGGAGGGGATGGATGGAGGAGAGAAAGGAACGAAAGCAGCGCGCGATACAAGCAACATAAATAAAACGAACGAGGGAAGTGTCCGTCCACCAAAGCCCAAAGCCGTCCTCCGGGAAAGCCGTACATATCATCCACGCTAGTGATAGCAAACACAGGTAATGTCACAAAGGCAGGCGCGAGGGGCCTCGGCCTGCTACAGCGCATGCGGACCCGAGTACGAGTACGTGCTACTTCGCCATGACTCCTCTTGCTGGTGGCTGGGCGCCGCCGCGGTGGGCGTGACTTCGCCGGGGTCGTACCCCTCGTACGCGGTCGAGAACGAGTCTTCGGTCGCCATTGGTGTGTGCACGGCTTCTTGTGGAAGGTGACCGGCCCACTGCTGTTCGCTTGGCGTCCGCACGCGCATCTCGAACTGTTCTGCTGGTGGTGTCGACGGCGACAATGACCGGGGCGAACGCACCCCGGGGACTTGCAGCGTCGCGGACGAAGGCGTGGAGTACGACGGCGACGGTGGTACATGGGTGACGGAGGAATGGGAGACGGCGGACATTGGCGGTTCCGTTTGGTACGCGGACGTCCTGGTGGAATCCCGGGTATAGGCGTGGTATCGATTGGGCTCTGGTAGCGGCGATGGCGCAGGAATACCAGAGACCGAGTAGTAGGACATCCGTTGCGACGGGCTAGACGACAGCTGCGCCCGGAGGGAGGGAGTGGGCGAGGCTCTGTTGTCGTACAAACCCTCGTCTAGCTTCTCGGGTCGGGGAGACTCTCCTTTCATGAGAGGCGCAGTCGGACGAGGCGACCCGTCACTACCAGGAGTCCGGGGTATTGATGGAGTGGAGTAGCCTTCTTCCTGGTGGCTGATCTCCGACTCTGACCGACAATGAGGTTGATGGTAGATAGGCGTTTGCTCGAGCTCACCCTTCTTGCGCTCGCGCCTGTGCTGAATGCCGAGACGGTCTTTCAGATCTCCGAGAACCCACATTTCTCGCACAATATCCTTGTCGAGAGGCATGTATGTTGACTTGATGAACTTGACCAGGAACCGCGGACCTGGAACGGATGTCAGGATAGCCGTCCGGGAAGAGGACATCGATCACTTACCGAGCGCGATGACGACTGACATCAGGACTGTCGCCCAGAAGGTCACCTCACCGAAGAGTACGACCACTTCGTCGACAAAATCTATGCTTTCGAACGCCGAATATATCGCAATCCAAACCATCATGATGACAGAGGAGCCAATGACGATGCACCAAGTGATGACAGTCCAACTAGAGAAGGATGCGTTAAGCTACTGCATGCCGAGCAGACAAAATACTACTCACTAATGGGTGTTGATCCCGACGTAGGTGTTCGCCGCAATGATGGCAGCCACCGACACCGTCGTACCAAAATCGGACAAGGATTCGATGGTCTTGCCGTTCCACGAAACAGCGATGCCGAGCGTCCAGATGAGGTACGGGATGAAGAACACGATGACCGATTGGTACAAGCCATCGAGCATGTACATCCAGAACTTCCACCGGGTGTATTCCAGCCCTCGGATGCCTCGGATGTAGAGTTGAGGGAACGCTAGGGCCGCTTTGGCGTTAATATCCTGGTCAAAGGCTGTGCAAATTCATGAGCGACATGGGCGATGTAGAGGAAGAATATTCTTACCTCCGAGGGCGATGACAGGCAACGACGTAAAGACGAGGTTGTAGAGCAGAATGAACGTGTACTGATACAAGTATGTCGCATCGAAGCTGTTGTAGATCATAAACCAAAACATAGCAAAGGTCCAGATCACATTCTGCAGACATTCGTTTAGCAGAGCACACACTGTCGCCAAGCAGACTCAAGACGTACCTTGTAAAAGAAGTTCGCGTGCATGTCTGCCACGCGTTGGTACGACCACCGACCATGGACGAGAAGAAGCTTCGTGAGGAACCGGAACTGTCCGAAAGCATAGTCCGCCGACATGGCAGCCTGAGAACCCTCGTGGCCGAGGAGACCACAACCAATGTTTGCCTCCTGGATCATCGCCACGTCGTTTGCGCCATCGCCGATCGACAGGGTCATGGCATTACGACCCTCCTTGACCTAGAACACACAGCCTTAGCGTTGAAGGGTGCGAGACAGTCGTGAATGACGTACAAGGTTGACAACCATAGCCTTCTGTGCGGGAGAGACTCGACAGCAGACAACCGTTTCACATTGTGTCGAGAGCGTCAAGAAAAGCTGCTTCAGATTGGGGTTGAGCGCATGCCGAAGGGTATCGCCGTCAATGACTACGGCAAACGCAGCCTGTGCTCCAGGAACGAATCCACGTTGCTTCGTGGCCATCGAGGGAGGGCCGTGCACCGAGGCTATCTTGTTCAGGCCCCCCTCGATCTGCAGCCGGGTCGACTCGTGGGAATCCGCAGACAGGATCATGATCTCCATGTCGTTCTTGAGAAGGTTGCAGCTGAAACCTACGCGACGTCAAGATGCTGCTCAGTGACCGGTAATACGCTGCAGACATGCGGACTCACCGATCTCAATAGCCGTCTGGACCTTGTCACCTGGTCGACCGTATATTAAAGCCTTTACGACATCGCGGCAGAGATGATCCACGTACCTGTCAGGATCCAGAGCTTGATGCCGGCCTTATGAAGGGTTTCGATTGCCTCTGGCACCCCTTCCTGCAGCTTGTCCTCCAGCGCGGTCGCCCCCAGGATCTGCAGTGAGTGCTCGACTAAATCATTGGCCTTGTCGATCTCCTCATCGCGGTCGTCAATCGCGTTCGTCGCAGCCTCGTACGCCCGGGACCAGTCAATATACTCCTGCTCAGTGAGATACCGATACGCGATGCACAGCGTGCGAAGACCGCCGTTCGCGAAAGCCTCCATGTCGCGTGCCGTCGCCGCCTTCAGCTCTGGGTCGTGGTTGGCAGCGAGACGCTCGTAGATGACGCTGTCCGCGCCCTTGCAGTACAGGACAATCTGGCCTTGCGGGTTGCGCACGACGACACTCATCCGCTTCCGCGTACTATTGAACTCAAGCAGCTGGAGTGGTATGTAGCGTTCGGGCTGTCCCATCACCTCAATGTTGACCGAATCCTTGGCCCGGTGCACGAAGGGGAAGCCGACGTCACGCGCCGCGGCGACAAGGGCGGCCTCATCGGGGGACTCCGCCTTGTACTCGAGAAGGTACGGCTCCCGGTTCGCGTCGGGGCGCTCAGACAGGACGCTGTGGCATATAGCGAGAGCTCGGAAGAACTCGATGAGATGCTGGCGTTGGGGGGAGCTGCGGTCGGCGAGATCATCAGCAAGCCTGGGAGAGATGAGGGTGAGGTGGTCCGGCTGTGCGTAGCGGTTCTTGAACGTCTGCGCCATCTTGTCGAGCATGCGCTGTTTGAGCATGTGCAGCTGGACGTCCTGCTCTTCGGGTTCCAACGCGTCTACTCTGCCCTCCCTCTTCGCGGCGCCTCGTTGTGCCTCCGTGATACCTTCTCCGTAGGCCACGCCGTGGATAGAGCACTTCTGTAACTCCATGACGTTCTGGGTGAGCGTACCGGTCTTGTCCGAGAATATGTACTCGATCTGCCCGAGATCGTCGGAAAGGTTCCACGTCTTCGGCGTACAAGCTGCGTCGAATGGCTTGTAGTACATGTCGATGTCTTGGGCGATGAAGAATGCCTGGATGGTCTTGACGATCTCGATAGAGATGTACAGGGAGACAGGGACGATGTTCTGGAAGGCGATGAGACAGGACCTATAGTGTACAATGCTAGTGAGCTAAATGTGCCGATAGCACTACGTTGAGCACTTACACGAAGGTGATAACCCCATTGAGAATGAACGAAGAGGTAGGATCCGCACCCTGCTCGTATTCTCGTGCGCTGGTATTGGCTTTAGAATCGAGGTAGCCAGATAGGATGCCGGACGTAAGACACATGAGGATGAGGAAGACGAAGTTGACTACGACGTTGAAGTTCGTCTCCTTCTCGATCTTTGACCGCTTCGACGGTGTATCTCCACCGTTGAGCATGATCTTGGAGTCCGCGCCTGTAAACACGACCAAGCCGATGACCCATGCTGTGTTCCGAAGAGTGCATCCACGAAGCAAGAGTTCGTTGATGGTGACGGACTCCTGCCTCTGCTCACCAGAGGCCGCGTCTTTGTAACGAAGAACAGCGTGGTAGAGATAGAGGTTGGCATGTGGAGGTTCGGAGTCCAGGATGAAGGAGGTGCGTTCGATGTCCTCCTCGGACATGATTGACGCAGTAGCCTTGACAGCCTTGCGAGGCTTCAAGTTCGTCTCCCCGTCCAAGTTCTTCGTCTCGAGATAGCACATGTTGTCCGCGTCCGAAGTCGAGAGCACGACGATATCCGCTGGTACCTGTTCGTTCTCGCGGAGAAGGACAACATCACCGACCTCGAGCTTCTTCCACAACGTCCGCTCCCAGCGCGCCAGAGCAGTAACGCGTTTGTTGTAATCCACGACGCCTATTGAGGAACGCCCATGTATCGATTGCTGATACGCATCGAGGGTCCCGGAGCCCGCCCACGACGGTACGGCCGTAGGGTTGCTTTCCTGCGGGGGATAGCTGTGTGAGTCGACACTTTGGATGTCTTCTAGTTTCCGGCCGGCACCGTAGTAGTTCATCTCCGATCTACTGTCGTTGGCAGGGAGCGTGCTAAGGCTAACGCGCGAGTCGTCGCCAGCCTTGCTAAGAACAAACTCCATTCCC